ACTAATTGAATTTTGTTGATATAACTGAGAAGTTGTAACATTAATTCCATTATAACAGAAACAAGTGAAATATGGTGAAGTGAATAATTGACTTTCACAAGAATTATTATTTGTACGATACTGTTGTTGTTCTCCATGCATGACAATAAGGTTTTTATAAAATTATATCAAAACAGAATGGAAACTTTTTAAACATAAAATAACTGGAAAAGATTAGCCTAGGATAAAGTTTGATGAAGAATCCTATGCTCCTTCACAAAGGGGTAACAGGCGTAAGTAAGTGTAAAACAGAATCACTTTCTCAACATTGTAACATCATTCTTTTGTGTAGTATGCAAGCAATTACAACGAAACTGTGTTGCAGAATTGAAAAATGCATCAAGACGAGAAGAATTATTTCAGATAATTAATTATTATTATCTAGTCACCTGTGTGGGACAACCAACACCATCTATTACGCTCTACTACGACTGACTAAGATGTATAACAAACATCTGTATATGTTATATATATATATATATATATATATATATATATATATATATATATATATATATATATATATATATATACAAACAGTAATAGTTAAAGTTATTAAAAGCAACCAAAGTATCCAAACACAAAACAAAACTCCCTTTATTAAACTATCGAATGTATCAGGAATAATATGATTGGAGAACACATAAGATACGAATCAGAAGAGATCTACAGTACAGAGAGGTGTATGTGTGTGTAAAACTCTATAAATATTTTATGAAATATTGTATCAAGGAAAATTGATGAGGATTTCAATTAAAAAATTTTCTATATAAAATTATTAATAGTCACTATTAAGTAATATTTTATCTATCAAGAAATAGTACGACTAGGCACAGTGACATATTAATTAAAGTATTCCGTTTTCAATTAAAATAGATGGTAGGTTCAAACAATACTTTACCTATCAATACGACTCAGATCAGTAAATGACTTGGTTGTTTTCAAATAACGAAAGAAACTCGTGGTGTTGAAGGAGAATTAAGGTAATTTAGGGAAGAAAATTTTCGTATCGACGACTTTATATACTTAAGCTGTACAATCATTTTTATAGTTAATGACTTAATGGACTGATATTATTTCTTGGATTGTCTGCTTTTAGCTTTCTTTTAAATTACATTAAGCAGGATTGTACGTCAAGGTAGGCGACGGATAAGCAAACATAGCGTATATTCAATATGATATTTTTAAAAACAACTTTTACCGACAGATAATCAGATGAATGAATAACTAAGCTAATTTAACCAAGCATATACTGCTCGTGAAAACTTTTTAAATAGGCATGAAAAACAAATACTTTTACAACTCGTTCTTATTCAGAGAGAGTAAAATAATGAATGGCAATTACAGAAATCCGTCAGAAGGGTTTACTCTCAGGTTATTTTTTGGTTTAAAAGATACTAATTAATAAGTAATATTTAGAAGTTCGATGAAAACTTAAATCTTTGTTATGATTAAAACATATGTTATGTTGATTCTGCCCCTTAAATGAAATAGATTACTGATTAAGCTATATGGTCGTGAACTTCGAATAGCTTTCAGTTAATACTGTTTGAAATGACTTTATTGACAAGATACTAGGGGAACGATATTCACGACTTCTTTATAGATAAAAAACTATATATATATATATATATATATATAAACTGTGTCCACAAAACAAGACCTAACTTTGAATCCTCAGTGTAAAATGAAGAGAGGAAGACTAAAGAACACATTGCGTCTGGAGTTGTAGGCAGACATCAAAAGAAACAGCACTTAGGAACAGCTGGAAAGGAGAGCTAAGGAAAGGCTGGGTTGTAGATTCTTAGTAGGTGGTTCATACTCCAAAAATGTAAGTACGTAATTACCCAATGTAAAGTTCTATAAGCATGTTTGAAGTACGTCTAATTTCAAGCTGGAAGTCAACAATTTTTAAATGACCTGGAGACAAATTTCATTTTTGTTTCATCTATATAAAATCTTAGCCGTACAGGTATTCTTTTGAAGCCTAATACTATAAAATCAATGACTTAAAAATAAGAATGTATCCTGATTTTCATGACATAATACTATAAAGTGTCGAAAACAGAAGTCATCACACATTAGTACAATTTCTGAAATTGTTTCAGTCCGACAGTTATCCTTCTACAATGATGCATGTAAGTACATTAACTCCATTTGTTTCACTGCCCTCGCCCAAACCTGGGATACAAAAACATTCAAGGATTTCAAAAAAACTCGAAATCATCTACAAGAACACTATATAATTACTGTAACATCAGTGTATATATTTTGCGATGGGAATGCCTATGGATGTAAAATTCAAAAACAGCGACAATCACGATAATTTATGCAAGCTTGCTAAAAAATATTTGACTAGAGATATTGAAGGAAACTATATTGCATGACAATAAACTGTCGCTACGATGATATGCCTCAATGGATGAAATATAACATTTAACTACTATATACACTAGATTGGAAAGCGATTTCATCGCCTTTGGTTTGGGTGATCGGATAATGTTAATAGTCTTCACATATACACACACACTGGCACATGAAAAACTGAGTAATTAACCAAGATAAATTACCTTATACTAAGAACACCGAGAGCTTAAAACTGTAACATATTTTAACGGATACCAACAAAGGAAGAATATGATTGCCAAAAACAAAAATTTGAAATTACAAAGATAATGGTGTACTCATTTATTGTGGTAGACAAAAAATGGAACAATTATTTACAGTATAAATGAAAGTTCTGTTTAATATCGTTTGTAATATTACACAAACAGGCTACATTACACCGTTTCTATTCTTAATTATAAGACTACTACTACTAAATGACAAAAAGGTAACAATAGTTGAATCTTTTCAAACCAATATTCGAATAAAATAGCTGCAGAAGGTAATCTCTTTATACGTACACAAAATAATCCATAATGCGTTAGAATTACACACACACACACAACTAAAGATGAGATTCAACATGGATTTTAATAAAGGAAAGTGTAAAAACCGTTTTAAAAAAAAGGAACAATCAACTTCACTTCATAACACAAGTACATAATTAACACTTCGATAATCATATATCCTCAAATGAAAAATCTCATACATATATACACATGATAAAAGAACAAATTTACAATAAAACAGCTGTTTTAATTAGATAGATTAAAATACTAATATAAAAATGACAGTGGACAAACAAATTCACTTAGATTTCAATCATGACAATACAGAATGTGAATAAAAATACAATACGAAGTGTTTGTAACACTATTAACAGAATGTTACAAATAAATAGTAATGTTATACAGCTTCATTCCTATATACAAAACTTATTCATGGCACAAGTTGATCTTAAAAGGAGTTTCAATGAAGAAAAAACAGAAGTAGTGTATATTTTATCGAAATGAATAGTAAACCTAATATTACATTTGGTGCATTGGAAAATACGTAAAGAATAAGAAACCTATTATTATACTGTAATATTGTCATAAATATTTGTGTATGATGAGTCAGAGTAATTCACACTACATACAGAAGAGATTTGTGTAAGTAAATGACTTTGTTCATTGAAATGTTTAACGCATTACCAATCATCACCTAGTCTATCGTTGACACTAAAATGATGCGGTACAAATGTGCGTATCAGTTTTGGTGGTTGTCCTCTGAGCTAAATGGATTGAATATCGTAGTAGAGTTTTGTATGAACTAGGGATTGATAGTGTTGTTTAGAATCGCAATGAAAGTTCCGAAATCAAACTACCCAACTCAAAGAACATAACACACCGTTTAGATCATCCACCCGGGCTGCAGACCTCTGTTATATATATACCACACAATACAGTAGGAGTAAAAATAACCAAAACAGTGTGAATTATTCCATCAATAACCGTAGTAACAATGAAACCTAAAACACTAGTGCGTTGGAAGGAATGGATGAAACTAGAAGAGAAAATATTAAATGACACTTAGCTCCTTCATGATTCAGGGAAAGACTTTTTTCTAAAATGAGCGAATTTCCTACCCTATGATCTAATTTGGCTTACATTACCTAATCCCAATTATAAACATCACGATCACCATGTGAACCTTAAACAAGAAGCGTACATTTCAACAGTTTATCAAGAATTATATGTAAATGTAGTGTGTAATGGCCAGGTCAATCTACAAGCACCAATTATCAGTAAAGGATTAGTGGAGACTGTTGAGTTTTCTTAGTGAGACCATGAACCGATCAATGTTAGACCACTAGTGAAAACTTGGAAGCACTGGATGGCTGTTTCGTCCTAATGTGGGACTTCTCAACAGTGCACATCCACGATCCCGTGCGCAAGACTCGAACCCAGGACTTTCGGCCTCAACAACAATCTCCACAACCCTACACTGATTACTATCATGTGCTCACTAGTGAATAGCTTCGAGAGGTACTTTTTGTTTTTCTAGTGAGAAGTCGCAACCAGTGGAGTTGAGACGAATCGGGTGTGAGGCCGTCACTCACCGAAGACAAGAGATGCAATATCGTGGATTAGTTTAAGTTAAACATTAACACCGTTGGATACCGGCTAAGTGATCTGGAAGTTAGGCGTTCGCACGAGATCGAAGGTCCTGGGTTCGATTCCCGCATGTGGAATCGTGAATGAGCACTGCTGGGGAGTCACCCAGGTTTTCAAAAGTGGTCTAACATCGATCCGTTCGTGATCGCAGTAAAAACACCAATTAGTTTAGAAATTTACAATTCTTAAAAATAATAATGCACTCAGGAAGCTACAAAATAATTAGTCTAGGATGATTTTGTTCAGCCAAATCATATTACCTAGAACCACTGTTATAGTTTACCAAATGTTTAATGAATTTGTGATACAAGATGAGAGTAACAAAACAAGTTGATATAACAAGAAAATTAATGGACTCTCAATTCTATTTTTAAAAATAGAAAACAATACATGGCTTTAAAAATAAAATTATTCACCTACCTGTGAAGTGAGTATTTTTGCTGTAGCTGAGGTGCACGCGGGAATCAATTGCACCGGGTCATCATTACGCCCTGAATAAGAGTGAATTTTGTTATTTAGAGAGAGACAGAATAAAAATAAGACAATCATACTAGCTTAGTTACAGACTAACTTAAAATTCTAACACTACAATATAAACTATGTTAGGCATTCGATGCATTAACTATTTTTCAAAGAACAGAAGATAGTAAGTCAAGATTTAACAACTTCGCATTGTGATTATACAAAAGTATTTAATCACATATTGTAGAAAACAAACTCATTATGTTGATATATGTTAAAGTGAAATTAATTTAGACATAAAAACATACGATTAGTTAATAACTTTAATGAAGTGGTTGGACCTGAATGTTATGAAAATCGAATTGAATTACACTAGCTGAAACACTTACTTTAAGCTTTAAGAATATTCTGGAAAAAACAATTTCTGATTATATGAATTATGGTTGAAATATATTTTACCATTGTCTCAAAATAAGAGGCTATCCAATAGAACAGACGGAAATACTGATCAATCTATCGAAAATGGATTTTTCTCTACATAACCATTCCCAATGTCACTTTACTACATTAAGTGAACTAATTCTATGGGATTCTGATTACGTTTTAAGTCGACCGAGAATTAGACATTAATGCTGCAGGTAAATATAATTCTACAACATACTACTTTTTTATTAACTCATATATGAATTTAACAGTTTCTATTATAAAAAAGAAAAGAAAAATAACAATCAAACTCTCCTTAAATTAAACTAACAAAACAAATATGCAACTAGACGAAATATTTGTTAAGGATACCAAGTTTATACAAAGAAGAGTGTGCTAAAGAATATTTTTATGGTCGAAAGGAAGAAACTTTTATGGAGAAAACAGGGAACGCAGAAGAAAGAAAAGGGGGAAGGTGGGTCAGCATCGAAACAAGCGAAAAGAAGTAGACACACACGCACATATGTGACGGATAAAACAACTAACTGTCAACACACAAAAGCAAAGCACCTACACAACAACGATAAGTATGGAAACGAAATGGCACAAGGGGGGATTGAATGTGAAAAAAAATAAGGTTTATCATACACCAAATATCTAGTCCAGAAGTACCTAGTATATTGCCCCTTTTTCACAGCACAGTTACAAAAACAGAGCTGGAGGTCTATATGAAATTGTCATAGGAATTAAGGGAAATCTGAAAACTCCTATGTTACACTGAAATGACTATGATAGAATAAAGGAAAATGTGCAGAAAATCTCAGTAGAGAGAAGATACTAAGGGAGAATATTAACACTATGAAGAAATGTGTCGAATTGATGTTTTACTAACAACTGGTCAAGATATCCATGTGTCTACTTACTTAATCAACACGTTGAAGGTAATCGTAATCATCAAAAAGCATGACAAATTTATCAGATAAGCATAATGGAAACAGACTAGAACTTTTATATGTACATAGTGTGAATACGACGAGTTTACCGGATATGTTTGATGTATTCTAGAATAATGCCAATCGAGAACAATGATAACAGTAATAGTAATACATATATAACACAGACAAGCGCAATGCTAATGTTTATTTGTCCATAATTAGATGAGAAGCAATATGTTATATAGACAAGAAATTTGTGTAATATCCCATTGATGAAAAAGCGTACTGTATACATAGATTAGCTAGTGTTAAAACTAAGATTTAATCAATAAGGACCGCTTCATTTATAAATAATCCAAAAATTGGTGTATTCATTAGTACATTGATATGAGTTGGTAAATTTATGGGGAATGACAGAGACAATGCAAAAAGCTATCTTAATATGAATGTAAGACAAAAGAGTGAAAAAATAAAAATAAATAAATAAATAAGAACTTTCGTCTAAATTCGATTGAATAGTTTCACAGTATTTGGGCGTCGAGTTGATGTGAGACATTAAAGAAGAAGAAATAAAACTTAAAGTATTTTTAACTTATAAAAAGATAGCCACATATCAACTACCCCAATAGCAAGTAATAGATTTAAGAAGCCTATGATTCTAGAAAGTTTGGATGAACAATCAATGTGCTCATAGATTTTTACCAATAAAATTCTAGTTTCCTCTAGTGTACATCAACATTATTCAGCATCATATATCTAAGGAACGGTTATCAGGAATAGTTAACACATATATTACTGAGTCTTCACTAATGTACCAACCAATTCATTGATTGTACGTAGGTGCTGCTTGTAAATACTCTATGCATATTTCCTAAAGACTTAGAGACTAAACTGTTTGGGTATGGTTCAGAAACAAGTTTAATTGAAATCGGGCTGCGATTATCCTTTACATGCTTAATCCCAGAAAGTCTCTTTAAAGTCTTTCTTAAACCATTTTCCAGGAGACTAATTGGAAACATAAGGGAAACTAAGATTTTTCTATGATCCTAGAATAAAGTGAGTGTACCACGTATTTCTAAAACAGCATTAAACTGTATGTTTACTTTTCACATCTAATGTGTTGAGGAACAGTATGTCTGACAGTCTTATTATAATCTCTAAAGCTCCGTACAAAAGTATATCAAACAAAATAACACAACACAAATAGCAGGAGACCTGATCGGAGTTCTCTAATATCCCCATAACTGTTCACTCTTGCTCTAAATGATATTGCGAAAACAGCTCTAAAGGAAATACATGGTTTAAATCGTTTGACTAAAACGACCATTCATATTCCAGCAAGTGAATAACATGGCCTTACAATACAATAACACTGAGGCTACTCAGATGGAAGTCAACCAGTTAGCGATCTGCATCATAGTTGCCTCTGGAGGACTCCTTACGCACAGTCACGAAACTTGTTAGTAATGCAGACAATGTGTATCGTCATCCACTGACGATATCCTGACGTTTTACAGATGCCTTCCCGGAGACCTCTACAGGGTGCATTACTTTTCAGCGTTGAGAAGAAGTGGCAAAAGAACATGGTTGGTCAGATTGTCATAGGTGGAATAGAGTATAATTGTGTTGACTCATCACAACTCCTTGGGTGAGGAGACAGAGACCTGAATAATAAGCAGCTCGAAACGTTGCTAGTAACCACCACCCTTTTCTCTATATCATTTTCATTATTTTGTCATGTTCCTTTGTAACCAGTGGCATACCATGCTAATCGTAAGTGAACAAATACATAAATCTAGAACCAACTAAAACAGATGTAATCCATAACCTAGTACAAATGTCTATTGATCATACTTTATATCACTGTAACAATGAGAAACCAACAAGAAAACAATAGCATGAAGAGGGAAGAAACTTGAAGACAGATAATAACTTGTTACAATCATGAGATGTACAGGATAAAGGTGGGATTTAACTAAGACATTGCCATAGGTTTACGGTCAATATCACATCTAATTTATAGTCAGTAGCACTGGCTGTCTTCAAGACCATGACCAGGAAATTTAGTTCCTTAAACTATACAGACTAATATTTAGGTAATTAGTCACAAAATGTGTGTTGGCCCGAGTCGTTGTATTAAATCAGAACAAACAAATGAAATTAACACCAAAAGAGTGCAAATAATAATAGTATCAATGATAGTAAAAGCGTGGTTCAAGAATAAGGGATGAAAAGATTTGCATGAAGAAACACTGGAAACTCGAAATCTAAGGGGTGATAAGGAATGAATGTACTTGCACCACTGTGACTGATTCCAATTCATGTTACTCAGCATCTCTAACCAATGATGGCGGTTAACATACTGACGTAGTGATGTTCGATTTTGAACCGCTAGATATCAGGTTCGAGTCCCGCCTCACCTAATTCGATCTTGGCAACCAGGTAGTACCATTAGCACTTACACTTAGAGTGTGGTTCATAAATAACCATATATATATATATATATATATATATATATATATATATATATATATATATATATATATATATATATATATATATATATATATATATATATATATATATATATACTGTATTTCAATTGATAGGGCTATACCGTCTGTAAACATTAGACAAATTATGAGTACTGAATGGAAGATTAATATATGAAATAAATAAAAAACTTTGGGAAGAAAGTACCATAAACAGATTAGTATGAAATATGTGTTTCATGGCAACAAACTTAAACAGTAGAGAACGTAAAAAGATAAAATTTGCAAAGATAAACTAAATTTTTGAGAGGCAAACATTACCAACGTTTAATCTTTCGGACTATCATTAAGGCTACTATTATTTAGAATTATTTGCTATTCATCATGTTAATTTAATCTCATTTTGCGGATTTGATATGACAACTCGGGCTAATGTACATTTATGCCAGACTCTTACATAATAAGTAACATCATTTAATTTTACGGAATTAATCAGATTTTAACAAACTATGCGCGTAATCATCTGTCTACTAAATAAATTATCTTACCTAGACCACTTGAGCAATCGACATTTATATTGCATTCCCTCTGTAATGACCCCGTCATTGGGCCAGTTGGAGTAGAAGGATTGTACCACAGGTTAGCTGGGGAAGAATCAACACCACTTGATAGATCATGACTGAAACCGTAATAGTTAGTACCCAATGGACCAAGCTAAAAAAAACAGTTGGTATATGATTATTTCAAAATGAATGACACACTACAAGAGCCTAGGTAGTGCGAAACTAGATAATACTCATTATTCAGTGTAACAACTGACTACCAGTCCTAGCAATATGAACTAGCAAATTAACGAAAATTAGTGATGAAGTACAAGATAACGTTTCCGGCTCACAGTTATACCTATTTTTAGGGATGAGAGTATAACCAAAATCCCCCAGATCGAAGATGGAACATGATTCCAGCCAATAACAAAACAACTGAAAATTTTATGTTTAAACTATAATCTCTCCACCGAATAGTTGGTGAATAGAAGATTTCAATCATTCTTTTTTATTTTCCAACTTACAGTTTGCTAATAATAGCCCGTTCTAACAACTTTTATATCTATTAAAACTAGTTTTATCTTACTAGTATACAGCAATCCAATTCAGAATCAAAACGTCGAGAAAAAAGTTATCCTAACAAACATTTAGTCTTACTGTACTAAACAGCAACCTACAATCCAGTAGTTATCTTTTTAAATGATGGATAAAACCAACCAAAGGAATTTAGAAAACATTTTAAGAGAATAAATCATGTCAAGAGCAACAGACAATATGGGATATAAGATACCTTATTAAACATCTTAAAGTGGAGTGTTTCAGGATAAATTAACTACATCCATTAATTTGTGGGATGGACATATTTGAAATTGCCACATATCATGCTCTTACATTCATGATAAAATCAACAAATGAGTAGTAATCGATCTGGTTAATACATGTTACATACATATACAGCGCTAGCTAACTATGATGTGCGACAAAATAAATCTTGTGGATTATAATGCATATCAGGTTCACATTGGCTAATCTAAGCTGTGTAAAACTCCAGGTCTATTGACTTTGTCTGATTAGATGACAAAAAAACCCTGGTGCACCTAAGTGTCATTGTTTAAAGTCTATACATGGAGCAGAGACAAATGGTAATTACCTAAAATGATACATTGGCTATTACAGAATCCAACTCGTTTTAATCAATAGCTAACCTTTATGTTTTTAATTACTACAGAATCAGTCAAAAATTAATTAGTAATTTACTATAACCATTAGTTCAGGGATTTTAGATGTATCAATTTGCAAACCTCCAGGAATTAAGAGTTCTTTATACCTCTATAAATTGTTTGATACACACAGTTCATTTTATAAATACATGCGTTTATCCTCATTTCTACAATTACTCTCAGATACAAACTAAATGCAGCAGAATAGACTAAATCTACCATATACAGATAAACCGAATAAAGAGAATAAGCTTTTTGCACTGTAAATTTATGTTCCGCTGAACATTTTCCAAAACGATTATCACAATCACTGGATTTTTACGAAATGCAAGTAAATGCTTGACAAAACTTACAGGTTGAGGTTCTGAATTTATATCTAAAAAGAAAACAGAAAAAATATGAAATATAGTGATTCAGAGCGAAAAACTAGGAATTCGTTTTTTTTTTAAATACATACATGCTAGTAGTATATTTATTTCAGCTTGGATAGGTAGCACAGTTTTATCATAATTCCAGTAGAATACTAATAAGTTTAGAAAGTTAAGTGATGTGTTAAATTACGTTAAATTAGTCCAACCAATCAATTTTGATTAAATTTTTTCTATTATTAATTAGGAACTGAATATTGCTTTGTGGAACTACGAAGGAAAAAAGGCCTTACATTCCTACACCATACATTAAATCATATACGGAATATTACATAATTACTTTGTGAAATTTGAGTCAAAATCGCAAACAGTACCTAAACAATGTTTCTGGGTAAATATCAAACCTCAAGGAGAACCAGACGATTTAAACAATACTACAGCACTCCATAATATGAACAATCAAGTTCGCTATATGCGACAGCATCGTCGGTCTTTCTAAATGTCTCAGAAGACCATATTTCCTACTAGGTTATTTCAATAAGAGATGGTACAGGATATTAGGATTGCAATGATCCAAGTGTCAAATGTGTCATGATGACCAGCTGAAACTTGGATATGTTTGAGCTTGTTTAGTTTATCAAGACGACCTGGTCTTGAGATCCATATGATTAGATCACTCACTACACCACAAAATGTCGAGTGTAAAACCTAAAGTTATGGGCAAAAGAATGAGAGAATTAGAAAGAACTGCTCGATCATATTAACAGAAACGATTTATCATAGAAGAAATAAGACCAAGTTACTTAAAACTACGTCAATATGGGAAACCAATAATGATTATTATAAAAGAATAACAGCGTAAAACGTACCTGCTAGAAAAGTCCCAGGTTGCGTATCAACACTGAATGTATTTGACAAAGGAAATAGTGGTTCAGATGAAGTGATCTGAGATGCTAACATAACACTTGGACTAGACTGGGTGGGTAAATTTTGATGCAAATGATTGAAAGGCAGACCAGATGCTGGGAAACGAGTAGTGGGGCTGTGTGACAATGGTTGAAGCCATTGGCTGGAAGTCGAATGCATCATGTCTACATATACATCACCAGTTTTTGACCTGATAAAAATATCATACATAAAAAGACTGGTAATGATAGAACCGATTGCGACATCAAAAGCGTTAAGAAACATGAGCAGAACAGAATGTAGTATTAGAGAAGAGCCCCTTAAAACTTGGAAACCTAGATCGCCAGAATAAATGCTTAACTAGGAATAGTATCTTGATGTTTCCAAATTTTGTAACGATGCTATTCCGAAGTCAGTTTTCTAGGGTCAACTAAAACTCAAACAATGGTGTTAATCTTGTCCCCATGAGAATTAATTCAACAGAGGTGAGCAAAGGTGGAGACATTCTATTATTTCGCAACAATAAAACCATCTACAACAGTTACACGCATGTTGGTAATGTCAGGTTATTAAACAGTTGGCTACAACCGCAGACATACAGATACATCAGGCCCAACAAAATAATATTCCAAGTCGTCACGCCTTGTAACAAAACGATAAAATTAATATCAGTGAGACTAAAAGTAAACTGTTGTTAATTTGGTGTTTGGGATTTAGATCAAGATAAGTAGTTAGTAACAGATTGGCGCAATACATTTCGGCTTTGTCGGTCTTTGGTTGGATAAATTTTTTTGTTTTATCAGCAACCTTAAGTAGTTAGTCCCTGTTGGTCGACTGGCAAACACTTATTTAATGTCAAGGTAAATTATCCACTCCCTTGAAATACAGAAACCCCTATTAAAACCCTTAATTTTTAGTATCAGGGAAGTTGCATTTTTAATTTGCATTGGCAACATTCCCCTCCAGGTATTCTCAAAACAAATTTCCAGCTGATGATGTGAAACACTGAAGTCTACAACCAGATGGATAGATTGTCATTTCATAAGGATCTAACTCGATTTCAAAGTTCGGCAGATCTAAATGAGTAAACTTACAAATCTTAAAAGAGTTAAACATTAAATTTATAGCATAATCCAAACCACAAATACAACCTGACTAAGTCTTCATTAGAAGTATCGTTAGTAGAGATATTTTGGTCCGTTACTGTGTAAAATCATGTGGTGACAAAATGGTTTTTGTACCAGCTTTACGCTAGTAACTTCGAAATGTACTTCGACCAGTTTGATAGGAGTTTCTACCTAACCTCCCAATTTTATTTGGCTCCATTGTAAAAGGACAGGACTACTTTGGAGTGTATTCAGAGATAAATTGCAAAATCAGTCCCTGGCTCTAGATTTGGATTCCAATAGTAATTCCTGGGAACACTGGATCCATATATTTAATATAGATGACTTAGTGGCGATCTAATAATGATTTATAGTCATAAACACTCCCCACCAGAATATATACTGAAGTTCACTCCCCATACACTCTAGGGCAAACATTCCCAAATTACCCAAAGCATATTGGGTTGTGAGTTTATTTTTCAACCATTGATAGAAGTCATTTCTTGTAGTTGGCTACTATCTGAAACAGATCAACTAACCTACCTGAACCCTTTAGGAGAAAACTTGCTACATTAAAGGCTTAAAATAGTACCACATACTTGACTAAAAGCTTTCGCTTCTGCCTTTTTCCGAATAATTAATTCCAATTTCAACTCTCATCCGATTAGATGACACAATGACCTTACTACGAGCAGGAGTAAAGGATGGTGAGTTGTATTACGGTTCTCAATTTAATCTTTAGTTAATAAATTATTTCACATCCATAGTTTCGTACATGAATAAACTTCCGGATACCATAATGTTTAAGTTCAGCCGTCTGGATACTAGTTACTTTTCAAACCCTACTTCGCTGAAAGAATTAATTCACTGAGCATATTACTAGTTCAGTCATCTCAATCACCTGTAAATTGTAGAAAAATCAAATAGACCACAATCAGTGTGGAAACTGACGAAATTATAAACTTCACACATCCCAATCTTGGCTTCAGAAAATTTACGAGTACTGAATACGTATGTTGCCGGGTGAATATTAAGAATTTAACCGATCTTCTTGACGTTTATATGTAGAGAGTATATATTGATCACAAAAGTAACGATGCCGAAATTTCACGCACGAAACTCATATTAGCACAAACTATACAAAGAAGATAACCAAACTGACCCCAACTTCATTGCTTAAAATGAAAATCTGTTAATTAATGATAGGCCCCAGACATTACTAATAGTTTCTGAACAAATGTGAGTTTTCAACTATACTGTTCACATCTTTAATGAGAAAGAGTTGTGTGACATTTGGTTACAGTAGTACACAACTCAAAAAGTGCCACTCAGAAATAATAAGCAACAAACCTTTCAAATAAACATGCAAAATTCAAAGCCTGCAAACGCCCGCCTTCGTTCGAAACTGTTGACAGAAGCACAACTTTTTAAATGTCCAGCACCCTATGCAAAAGTTCACTGTTCTTTTTAAGCACTTAAAAAATTAACAACTTACTGTCTTATCTTGGCAACAACTTTAGATTTTTCAAATATTTTCACCAACTGTATATATGAATCATTTATGTGTATGAATAGTCAGCCTTTTGTGTTTTTATGATCACATCTTCCCTATTCCTAACTAGTTAAGCCCTAGCAGGTCGTCATAATAGTAGACAATTTGACAGAGGTAGGTAGTTTATGATATTGAGAGTGTGGTTGCATTGGTCAATAACTCCTCTTTAAAATCGTAAATCACTTGAAACCCTACACCATTAAGTTCTCATTTTTATTTCCAGACTATCTTGATATCATGTTCGTCTTATTTCTGACTGTTGTCAACTCCTCTCATTATTGGATGTAAATGAATTCTATGTGCTTAATGAGTAGTCGGCTAATTTTTTTGACTGCTTTTTTCAAACATGTCGAGAACTGTCCTATCTAAGCTGGCTAATTGCAGGGGATAAGTAACATGATGTACGAACTGTTGGCATTGTGCGGACGCGTGACTGATCGCTTTCAACTAAGGTGTGTCCTGCAAAACCAGTGATATCAGCATCAATGTTGAATACTTGGAGAATTATTTATCCTGGAGATTTGTTTACAGCCACGTAATCTCAAGAGAAACAACATAATAGCCTATTTGTGTGATTAAGGCCCAAAGCCACTACATATGTTATTCTACCTTCTGGACAGACCAATTTATTAATTCTCCTTAAGCCACATTTAGACCTTGTTTATTATTCGCTTATTAGCCCTGGCTGTTTTTATATGATCATGTGTGTTAAATGCTTACCTTATTCATCACGTGTCTGCAAAGTATTTTTTTCTGAATATGAATATTGGGTCACGCTTGATCAAAACGACTTGGTTCACTCGTCTTCTCCTAATTGCGTCACATCGTTGCGCTTCGCTTCACTTTCTCCATCTCGTACTTCTGAAATATACGTATTCGAAGTTCGTTCTCTTATTTGATTTACTTTATCCCGTCATACTCTAAAGCGAATTAATTCGACAATTACGTACAAGGGTTGGCGGTAAATTCACAACGACGACAATCACTATACGATCTAACTGTAATCAGATACCGGGGCACGAAGAGCTTTGATGCTCCTCATCATACTTCTGTTTGCTACTGTGTATTCACATTATGAGTTGGCTTTCTCTGTTCTAATTCGGCTGTTGTTGATTGATGTCTTCTTGTTCTTGCTTTCTTGAATACTCCCATCGGTATTAATAGAGATCTATAGCTTATGATGATGCTTCTTTGATCACAGAACCTCCGGATCGAATGGGTTTCCGTGATTCTGAGAACCGTCAAGTTGTATCTTCTCATTTCCATAGCTATTTGATTGGTCCTTTCGGTCTCCCACATTGTCTGAACATTTGATGTACGTGTATCAATTGTTGCTGTGGTTGTTAGAAGAGGCATCGGTATTGTGACTTCCGAAGAATCTGGGCTTTCAACATGAGGCGTGGTAATTTTTCCTTGAAGTCGAAGGGCAGAGCTTAATTGGTTTAAATTGTTTATTCTGGTTAGCGTTTTTCTTAGCAAGTTTGTTTTCTACGGGATGAGGTTGTTGACCGTATGCCCAACCCTCCTACATTGTGTGGGTTCGGGGAAATCAGCATCCTAGAAAAGCTACATATTGATAGAAGAAACCAGAGAAGTAGTGAATAGGTCTTTATTTCGATCTTAGCGCGGTGACAGTGGAGCGTCCGATTACCTGTTCAGACAAACAAAGGCTCTCAACATTCAATATAAGATAATAGGGAATATAACGCTTATACAAAACAAGGAAGTGAATGAATACTTGAACAGTACTGTTTTGGCATATGCTTGGTTGTTTGGGGTCAACTCTTAACCAACCAACCTAGGCTGTTACATTAGCTTCCCCCTAGGATCGACTTCCGTAGGAACGTCGGTTCGATTAACCTAACTATCGAAAACACCTTGGTTCTATTTCTCATCCCCAGGGAAAATTATCAACTCGCTCACTGTTTGACTTACAGTCAGTGACGACTAACGCTGTCAACGATAGTCCATGGATGTCTCTTATTTACTAGCTTGTCATCTTATTTTGTAGCATGTGATTTCTTCTACAACTATCGCCGACGGTTTGCTGCGTGCATTCAAGAGAAAGTATGAGAATGTGGAATAAGAATATCTGAGGAAGTGCCGCGAGCGGGCTACCCAACACCATGTTGGTGAGGTACGATTTTTCCGTGCTCAGACCGGCTATCAGGTGTTTACTCACCTGCCTCTTGAGTCGCCCTCAAGTAAAAAGTAAAGAAGAATCTACTTCAAAGGTAATGGTGAAAATCAAGCAAACCTGAAGAACTGCTCCACTGCCTGCATAAAATAATAAGATACAAAATGGAAATACATAAATGTAATTGATAATTGTTCGGTTCCATGTAAGTGCTTGGTCTCCAGAACGGATTGGTATTCTGGAAAAGAATAGACATAGTGTAGATATCTTGTGCACGAAAAACCATGAAAAAAAAAAAATACTCTTTTGTAATGCATATATATAAAAGGGTGAACTTGCTAGAAGTTGGACCCTTTAACAAAATCGATCAAACCCGTGACCTTGAGCTTGTGATGATCGCGTTTCACACCTAGGTGCGTAACCAAGGGTGCATAATTGTACTCCACAAAACGGAAAAGAATATACGGTTAAGAAGCAAAAAAAAATTGTGTAGAGTATGCGGATCAAGTACAGTTGTGTCAAATACCCTTTTCTTGTTTGATTTAGGTATGCATGATATATTGAAGCAATATATCGTCAATTCATCCAAGTAACGAATTGGTTTGCACCTCAGAAGTGTGTAAGTCCTATTACTCATTAGTATTATAAGTGATTAATTGGTGTAAGGAAATATTGAAGTCACTTCCTCCGTGGTCTGATGTGGCTTAACGGCTAAGCACGCGGTCTAGCATTCAGGAGGGCAGAGGTTCGAGTGAATGTGGGGCCTGCGTTTTTGTTCACCAGACCCACCTTCAATACGATGTTTGTTGCCCGTAAGTCGCGCACATATGAGAGAAAAAATGACAAGAGGACAGATTGATATATCAAAGTGCCATATTGGAAAAGTATAAGTTCTTTTTTTACATGAATATTATTACTATAGAAAAAAAAACTACAAGTTTAGTAAGTTTCCATTTTACGTTATATTTAAACCAACGAATATATATATATATCAGTTATTGACATAAAATGTTTTTTTTTATAACGCTAATGTTAAGTTCCAGGACTTTGTATGGGCCACTAATAATAATTGGTTTGACGTTAGCATAGTCGTGATATTCACATTGTCAGTTCAATGTTATGATTACTAAACAGTTCCCTTATAAGTTGTGTTTAAAATTAGGTATGTGGAATCAATGCGGCTGACATAGTAACCTTACAGTAACGCACTGTACTATATCTTCACGGTTATTGATTCTTAAATGTCAGAAATTAAAAAAAATCTGAATATTGCCAATAAAGATGGGTTATATGATCACACTAAAAAGCATGCTGCAGGGAAACTGGTTAAGTCATTACGTAAGTTTCCTAAACATGAAAAAAAATGATGAGAACTTTAATAAGTACTTGACCATGGTTTAATCCAAAATGTTTTGTCTAGAAAACTACTTATTAATAGTAGTATTAATCGTATCAAGCTACTAAACATATCCTCAACCGAAAACTTTTAGAAGTAGTTCATATGGTATATATGTATAGCCAGTCTACGTGAAATATATATAAAAATATATAAGAAGTACAGCCAACATAGTTAATTAACCAGAAAAAGAAATTATAAAACTCGCCTGGGTTGCTTTTTTAATTCGTTGTATTTGCCAGTGTTAGTTGTATGAGTTTGATTAAAATCCTCAGCCGTCGTTTCGGAGTACCTAGCTTATGTGTCCAGTATTTTAAAACAAATATTTAACATAACACGTATATATCAAAAGTAAAAGGTCTGGGGAGTTGTCGGTGAGGCGGGATGATGAAAAAAAAATATTTTTAAGTAGATGCAGGGTGTGATTAGCTGCGTGGTTAGATTTTATCCTGCAGCCGAAACTGTCAACATCCTTGACTGACTAATTGGATGTGCCCAGCGAACCGTTTTAGTCATTTGTAAAGATTTATTATCTTCACATTTCGATTCCGTAATGGATTTGTCAGTTAAACGATCTAACAACACGTATGGTGGTTCATGATCTAGATAAGCCGGCTTTAGCCTATCAATACTTACTGTGTCGATGTTTCCATGTTTTTCTATCACGAAATATTTAGATTTTCTTGAGACGACTTTGAAAGGACCTTCAAATGGAGGACTGAGTGGTGCTTTTATTTTGTCACATCTTATCCAGACGTGCGTGCAATTGCTTAGGTCTTTAGGTATATATACGGGGCGCGATTGTTCACGAGTATTAATCGGCTTAAGTTTAGACATGTGGTCCCGTAGTTGATCTACATAATTTTCTAAATTAAGTTTTTGACTGTTAGTATTAGGGTTAATAAATTCACCTGGTAGTCTCGGAGTTGTTCCGAAAACCAGTTCCGCAGCTGAACACTGTGCGTCAGTTTTGACAGATGTTCGTATTCCCAACATAACTAACGGTAGGAATTCTGTCCACTTATTGGGGTTTGAGTGAGATATAAGGGCGGTTTTTAGCTGACGGTGAAAACGTTCTACCATCCCATTAGCCTGAGGATGATATGCAGTGCAGCGTATCCTATTGGAGCCTAGAAGTTTAGCCAAGTTATTAAATAGTTCGGATTCGAATTGCGCTCCTCTATCCGTCGTTATTGTTATGGGTGTACCAAAAATGGTTACCCAGTTCTGCATGAAAACTTTGGCTACTGTTTCCGCTGTGATGTCCGCTATCGGGATGGCTATAGGGAATCTGGTAAATCGATCTATGCATGTAAAAAG